GCATACAGTTTTAAAAGCTACAAGGCTGAAACATCCATGGTTTAAAAGGACCATAGCAAAATTAACCCTATCACCCTGAAAACACTTAAAGAGTTTCAAAAGTTTGATTTCAGAAAAATGTACTTTTCACTATAGGATAAAGACATGATGGGACACGCTTGCTCTGGTTTTCCATTCATCAAGTAGGGTTTTCTGCTTGGGGTTGTTGTCCCCAAAGGACAGTGAGTTCGTGCCCGGTGCGCTTGTGCCAATAAACACACAGGGGTGAAGGATCCAACTTAATCTTTATTTCTGTGCAAAAAGTGGCACTTGGCAATCGTTCGCAAAGCAAGCACCCCCACCCCAGTGGGCGTCTGCCTTATATAGCTACGTAACAGGTTAAACTTGCTGATGTGATGAAATGTGTAGCAAGCCCAGCAAGTAACCCCCCTCCAGCTCCCCCCCAAGTAACCCCCCTTCCAGCTCCGGAACTTTGTTGATACAGCTTTTCCTCTAGCGAGGCCAGCAATTAAACAACTAAGCAACAAGCGATCTCCCCCAGCCTAAACAACCTACTCTGTGCCCTTGGTTAGATAAAATACTTTTTTCAAAACATACAAAGCTGTTCCTGAAGTAGAAAATGCATAGTGAAAGTTCAGGGGATCTCTGCTGGACATGGCTTCCATCCCTACCTCTGTCCCTAGGGGTTTAGCCAGGTGCCCCTGAAACAAGGGGTGCTTATCAAATCCCCCCTTATGGAAAAGGCCCATAGTCCTCGACTATCTTTCTCATCTCCAGAAATCTTTCCGCTTCCTCCCGATTATTTTGGATCGGGTTTGTAACTGATGATTTTATAAACATTGCGTGGTGAACGGGGGAAGAAATTGATTTCTTGAGTACCTCACAACACAGTGGCACACAATGTACCCCACAACAGATCATCAAGAAAATACATATACTTGCCACAATTAATAGGAAAATTTGCTTAAGCCATGAAAAATTAGGAAGCCAAGAAGTAAGCCATGAGAAGT